GCTGATGAGAATACTTCAGTTCAAGCATCTGCTCCCAGTTGGGCTAACAAATGCTGAAACTTTCGATACCAATGGAGCCACTTAGCCAAGCAAAGAGTGTTAGGGCCCGGCTGCATGGTTTTAGCACAGACGATAAGGTCCAGTGGTTGCTCCTATAGTAAAAGAGATTAGTTTATAAGCTATATAAAATGCAAAGGTATTTAGTGAGTCTTAGAAAGATTAGATTAGAAAGAAAAAGAAAAAAAAGATTAATTACATTGTTTTCTGAGCTGGAATAACTCATACTTAAGTTGTCAGAAGCTGGAGCGCTTAGCATGTGGAAACTATTCTGACCTATTCTGATTAGAGTATCTGGTATACTGACATAGACTTCTCCTGAGCACAAGCTGGGAAAAAAAAACATATACTCCAATACCATGACATTCCTGTGTGTGCACTTTAAAGTGCTCTCTCCAAAATAATATGTTTCAGCTTAGCTGTCACAAATGCAGGCAACTTCCACTGCACTGAAAGGGGTTACACAAAGTAACTGAGAACAAGACGTGAGCCAGTGGTACCTGTGCTTCTGAATCTGAGGGCAGAGCTGGAATTTGTCCGTTAAAAGGGCAGGAACAAAGTTCTTTATTTCACACTGGGCTTGGAAATTCCAGTTTAACAAGAATCATCTGCCAGTCTCCCTGAAAGCTTCCTGCTTTAATCAGCAACCACCTTGAAAATGGGTGCAGCAGGGAGGCAGTAGTGTAAGCAAATAATATATGATACCTCTGCAAATGTGCTAAAAGAGTCAAAACAGGGATTATCTCAAATGAGCTCCCCCTCCTCTACTCCTCCCTCCACCCATTTATAGGAAGAATGGCAAATGGTATCATCTTGTTTCCTTGATCAGTCTAGAAATGGCTTCGTATCTTCATGCATCAGACAGGAACAGCTACAGCTGACAGACTCCATTGCTCTTGTAATGTGAGAAATCTTTTAACTGATGTGTAGATTTTTAGGGTTGCAGGACAAATTTGGAATGACTAGCTCATTTGGTATTGTTTGATGGATATTAGAAAGTATTACATTTTTTTTGTGTCATCTATTTGCTGCTACATATAAGTGGCCAAAAAATTTTATTCTGTTCTAGAGCATCTTCCAAACTCAACATCAGTGCAAGCAGAAGCAAAGCCACTGCAGCCAGCTGAGCTGCACAAGGTTACAGTTAGTTTAAGACAAGGGATTCTTTTAGTCCAGTGTGATTTTTGGCTGCTCTTTTTTATACTTAGATTTTCAAAGGTGAAAAGTTAAAAGAACATCACCGAGGTAGAGTCTAATCAGTATTAAAAAAAAAAACCCACTGTTTTTACTTCCCTGCAAGGGATGAGGAAGTTGAGATCTTTCACTCTCCTGGTCTGACACAGAATAGCCCTACAGTGACCCGAAGTGATGAGTCAGGCTTCCAGTGTGAAACGTAGTGTGTGAAAGGACAATTCGCATATGATTTTGCACAGTTCCTATTGTAGGCAAAGCACATAGCAGTCACCTTTAGCTTTGTCATGCTGTTTTTCTGTTTAGCATGTAATGGTTTAGGCATCTGGCTACAAACAGGATTGGTGTTCTACGCTATGTTAACAGTGACCTCTGAAACAGTCTTTGTGGATCCATTTTGCTGTCATGTCCTGAAGTTTCGATGGCTTAAAGTCCAATAAAATTAGGTTAACACATCTTAAAATAAAGCCAAGTTTTTATCAATTACTGGTCAAAAATTTAGTTGGTATAGGTAGATCAATGCATTTCCTTCATCTAAGACAGATTAGTGTCTTGAATTGGTTCCAAAACCAGAATTATATTTGTAGTATAAAAAAGCTTTGTCAGTCTAACATTGTCAAATACCTGTCATGCATGAAAGTATTTAATGTTCTTTTAACTTAGAGCAGACCAAGGCTGGCTATAATACACTATTAATCATGCTTGAAGGACTCTTAGCGTGGTTTCAGTGAACCGTTTAGGCCAGGGAAATTTTAGAGAAAGTTATGCCAAAACTACAATACTGCGAGTACACAGCAACATATCTCTGGTACATTAGTCCAGTTTCTAAAAACAATTGCTTTCCATGCTGACTGGGGAAATGATATTAAAATAGCCAACCCATTTAGGCAAAGTCGCAGGCAGTAGCTTTCTGGGGTTGTCATGATGCAGATGGTGCTCATATACTTATGCATATTAAAGAAAAGGCAAATTAAGAAAAGCAGAGAGGTGAAATGAGTGGAAAATATCTGCTAGCAAAATGCTAACACATAATCCCAGCCTTAACTGTTCTGAAATATTTGAAAATGTTTATAAATTTCTATATGTTATTCCACAGGGCTCCAAAAGGATGTCTGATGCAGAAGTGCAAACAGATCCAGTGTCTATCCTACCTGCTGGGAAATCCAAGTAATGAATACACGTGGCTGCTGAAGGATCAGCAGCTCTCTGTAAGCTCCCTTGCAGCAGAGATGACTCATTATTTTCCTTTACATGGCTGTCATCAAATGCCTGAGGCTAAAGCAAACATTGGTGTATCATTTAAGGTATATCATTTACAGGGTTTGTTCATTAGATGTTAGAAAGCAACTCTCAGGATCACCAAGCAATGTGTAGTACGTTTAAAGAAAGGTCATGTGGATGATTTTAAGTCTATAGAGGGTAGAGTATGTAAGGTAAAAAAGTGGCGGTTAATTAAATAAATGGCAGAAAAAAAATGCATGTGACAAAGGAATGCAGTTTGTGCAGCAAGGAATGAGCAGCAAATCCTCAGCTTTAGAGAGCTTTAAAGCAGCCAGGGGGGAAAAATCTCCTTTGATAAATGTTATACTTAAATGTGAAAACAACCAAGTCACCTTTTGTGGTTTTCAATAGAGCTGAAATTAGCAAAAAGTCTGCAGTATAATAGAATCAGTGGTTATAAAGTTATGCTTCGTATTGGTTATTAATGTAAATTAAAACGCTAAAATGCAAAGGCTTTCTATACATGATTGAGACAACTCTCTTGTCTTGGTGAGGTGGGATAACAAATTAAAAGCTATTTAAGGTTCTAATAGGAACACAAGGGGGCACCCGCGTCCCCACCGTAGTCCTAACTCCCAGGCTGTACCTACAATCCTGTTATTAATGTTTTTCAGATGATAGGAAACTTAGTTGTTTCATCAGATATTTGTTTATATCCATACTTTTAATTAACCCTAATAAAAAACAAAATCCAGGCACCTCCCTATTTCACAAAACTTCTGTAATAACTGTAGTTAATAAATTTTACAGAAAATTAAGTTTTCTGTGGTTTATTCAACCCTGGGCTCACCTGGACAGGGAACTGTGACCTGACATTTTAATCCACACTCGCATCTGAACGATACAGTACTGTATATTTTGACCTCCTTATGATTAAATAAATGAATACTTATCCTTTTAAAAAAAATAATTTGCTGCTTTAATCTTAAAACAAAGTTTGTTATTTACATCCCTGTTTTCTGATGATTGATGTGACATAAAGGCATAAATCAACACATAAAAAACCTGCCTGTGAAGTTAATGGTTGTCATTCTTTATTTGAGTAAAGATTACAACTGGAAATGAAGTGAGAATTCTGTAAAATCTGCAGACTTACATTTCTAACTCGTCATAGAAGAAAGAGGTAAAAGAGCCTTGTTTCTCCATATGAGACATTGCAGGTAGGTGGTATTTTTACTCTGGCCTCTGCAAACCTCTGGACTTGCAGCAGATGACCAAAACTTACCGGTGGTTCTACTGCAGACAGCAGACAAAAGGACCTTTAGTTACAATAGCACTTTCTGTTCTCCTCCCTAGCACAATGGGCCTTTGATGACATATAAAGTGTTATCAATCAAGAGTGACTGCTTACAGATTTCAAACCAGATTCATAACGACCTACTTCTACATCTGTGTAGGACCAGTGATTTCTGTGCATCCCCATTTATGGTAGAATGAGAGGAGAATTGGGCTTGTTATATCCAGCTTTTCTTCACAAAAAAAAAGTCTTAGGCTTTGTTTACACTACAAGACTATAGAGCTTTAATTAAATCAATGCATGTAAAGCTACGTACAGTGAGACAACCACCATGGTTACATGCTGGTATGAAAGTGCCAGATGTCAGCATAGCTTGTGTTATCAGGAAAGAGGAATAAGCTATCATGCTATTTGCTGACTTCATACTGCTGTAATTGCCTCTGTATTAGAATAGTATTTAAGCAATTTTCAAATAAAAATATGCTCTGGCTAATTAACTATATTATAGACTGTATATATATTATTATATGATAGACAGTGTAGATATTAATATTATGTTATGGATACATCAGCCCTTCTGTGCAAGAGAACAACTCTCCCTTAGTCCACATTTTAGGAGCAGGTCTGCGTTGATTGAGTTCTGTGTAACTGGGGCAATTAGGACTGCTGACCACGTGATTTGACCGTCTCACTTGGCACTGGAGCTAATTTCAGGAATCAGGAAATCCTCTTGGCAGAATAACAAGAAAAACAGTAAGTTTGGCTGTGGATGCCCCTTATGCCACTGAGCTATTATTGCAGATGAAATAACGGTTAGTGTTGGCGCTGCCTCCCACGTAGAAACTCCCCATTTTGTTTGATTCCTCTCTGATAACAGGAACAACGCAAACTTTGAAGAAGCAAGTCAGCCTTCTCATAAAGCAGCAACACATGGAGCCCCAAGAGGAAGAAAGGTCTTAGGAGATGCATCCACAGTTAAGTGGAGCTTCCGCATTCCACATGCCATATAAGAAACATAAAAGTACAGCTTTTATGTTCAGGCCCGGTAAAGCTTAACAAGTCATTTGGAAATCAAAGCTTTGGAAGAGGCTGCAATCCAAGACAAAGGAAAAGAGCAGCCAAAGTAATACATTGTATTTAGACTCTGTTGTCAACAAATAAGCTCTGGTTTTATGCATAGGATCTTTTGAGGGGAACTGAAGCAGATCAGACTGCTTCAAGGATCTTAAAGTGTGTTTCACATAGGAATTTCAGAAGAATTTCAGAAGCTAGTGCAACCTCATAAATATAAAAAATCCCAGGGAACGGATTAACATTGCTACTTTTTGTGTAAGAAATGCTTCCCTCCAGCGGACAGATGTGTATCCATGAAAGTGCGCGCTCCCAGGTGAGGTTCAGGGCTCTGCCGCACGTGTCTCCGGCGGAGCCCTCGGTGAGCCAAGCTCACCATCGCAGCACCGGGCAGCGCGCAGCTCCGCAGCGGTTGGGAGCCGTGGGTTTTCGTAACCTGAAAGCAAATTATCTCTCGTGAGAAGGTATCTGAGCTCAATCGTTCTTCTCTGGAAGCTGTCCAGATGTTTAACTCCACTGCATTTCAAGGTTTTTATAGGTAACTCCTGGGAAAACTGGCCTGCGCTGGCTCTGACAATGCGCAGCCCGAGTAGAACAATGTGATTTCTGGTATTAAACAGTCCGCTCGTTAATTCTGAGCGTAACCAGCAGCTAATTACCAGCACACACAAACCAGGTAATTGCACTTTAGCAGCTATTATCTGTTTGGTGTAAGCATTGCCTAAGAAAAACCCCAAAACCTGGTGGTTTTTCAGCCTGCCCTGTCCGCTGGTTGTCCTGTGCGCGTCTCAGAGGGGCGTCTCTGAGGGGGCCCCTTGGAGGCCATGGCCAGGGCGGCTGCAGCGAGGCCTGCCCAGGCCTGTCTCCATGACCTGCTCTGTCTCCACATCCAGCCAACCACCTGGCCCGAAGTCACCTGTCCCCAAGCTGAGGAGGGGGACTGGCAAAGTTGTCACACTTCCCCCCACATTTTAGGGGACGGAGGGAAACTGAGGCAGTGCTGAGGGACAGTAGGTTTGTGATGGCTGCCATGACCCCACCTGGCTTTTCTCTGGCCAGAGCGCTGGGACAGGGCCTGTTGGCAGCCACAAAATGGCCACAAAGTGTAATGAATCACTTGGCAGGTCACAGAAAGAGCGAGCCCTCGCTGCATGCGACTTCTGGGGGCTGAAGTGTTGCTTTAAAGGCCGGTGCCAGAGCAGTGCCAGTGGGCAGGCACCACACCTCGGCACCCCATGACTGCTCCACACGCTTTCAGGTCCCCTCAGCCTCCATCAAAGCCAGGGGACTGCCGAGGACTTTCTGCGGAATATACACCTGAAAATATCGTAATTACAGTCTCGTTCCTGCATAATAGGATCTTCAGAGGTTCCTGTTGCGCCACTTGTCTACTGAAAGTGTTTGTTGTGTTGAATTGTGTGCATCCATCAATCACGCTGTATTTGCATTCCCAGGGCGGTTTGCAGAGCGATAAATGCCTCACAGAGTACCGAGAAAGTACAGACTTTCTCCCTGTTGACTATGCCAGGCCTGTATCTACCCCAGCCTGGCGTTAAGCTGGAGCAGCTTTCCAGCTGGGAATGTGATTAGGATCTTGCCCCTTGTAAGTATGAGATTCTTCACTTTAGGAAAGGAGGGGTCGTCTGCTCACACTGAGACCAGGATTTAAGAGAGTAACAAAGCTACTTCCAGGGTTTGTGTGTTTCACATTGCTTGCTCTGCACCCAGGGCTTAGGCCATGGTTTAAGACTACCTTAATACCTTTTTATATGTAAATGTTTACAGCTGAGGCGACTTATGCAACAAAATCCATGGTTTTATACATAAAAAAGATAGCACGACAGAAGACAAACAGAAAATGTTAGTGCACAGATGCATTGTGGCTGTGGGAACTGACCCCATTTGTGAGGTTAGCGATGGAATAGCTCTAACTTCAGTATACTCATTTGAGAATATCAGTGAAGAATCTGGATTTGCTATAGGCTCCACCTCTTCTGGATAACACACCCAGGTCTTTACTGGCAACTTCAGCAGTTTAGCAGTTCTGAGAACACAAAAACAGGAAATTCTGCAGCAGTCTTGACGGAGGCTGAAGATGCGTATAAATTCCTTAAAGATTGTCTTATTTTCTGAAAACAAATTATCAAAAGCCTTGAAGAAGAACAAAACCCTTATCACCACTCTTTGCTTTTACTTAATCATTTCCTATTAAATTTGCCACCTACTAAACCGCATAGGAAAACAACCTCCTGCACAGGAAGCATTACCGATTTGGCTGTAAACCGGAAAGGTACAAAGTCCAAATTCCTTCTTTATCACATCCCACTGTAAGCAGGTGATGCGGCATTCAACACTACCCCTTCACCTACCTTTACACAGCGTAGGAGTAAGGTCCTTTGTGATTATTGCACTGCATGGGGAATGATAAAGACAGACCCTGGACACAGTCTTCAGGACATTTAAAATATGATTAGAATTCTGCAGACTCATCTTTGTTGCAGTACTTCACAAATTTTAAGGATGTTTGTGATTACTTCATTAGAGTTCTTTGGAAAACATAAGGGAAGTGAGGATTAAGTTGC